TATGAACAAAGAGAAAATAATGAGGAAACTAAAAATAATTTTAACATTGATTGATGTCAAGGGCTTCTGGTCTTCAGCATCATCAACTTGTGGTGGATTTCGAAGCGCAAAAAAGCAAATAACATTAAATTCCCGTCGATTCCAAAGTACGATCCTCATCAACAATTTTCCGTGAACTTTCAAAAGGTTTATTAAATAACCGATAATTTAAATGACTGTTGAATCCTTAATGTATTGGTGTGTTACTGGGTCTGACCTGCTTTAGTCGCTGCTGATTATTCGTTCGGTATTCAGATTAGATTGTCCAATGAGATTCTTATAAATTTACAAACCGTCGACGCGCAACATGGTTACAGTGTTAAAATTTGGAAAATTAACGGGGCATTTCAGGTAAAGAACAGGCTTGCATCTTCAGAGGTCAGTGTGTCCTCAGAGGTGTTTCATCTCAGAAGATGCAAGCCTCTGGAGTCTAAAAAGCACGACTAAAAACCCTGGAAAACCTAACAGTTTCAAGCATGATTATTGATAATTCCATACTTCTTCCCCACACGCTTCTCTATTATCATGCAGATATTTGAGCTACGTTCACAACCATGGCAGTGAACCACTCCGATCGCTCACACTCGGCCAACTTCTGGAACAAACAGCCAAGAAATACGGCAGCCGAACAGCTTTGATCTGCCGATCAGAAAACCAGAAACTCACATTCCAAGAGGTGCTAGATCAGGCCGATCGGCTGGCCGCCGGATTTACAGCCTTGGGGTTGAAGCCAGGCGATCGTCTGGGGGTTTGGGCTCCAAACGTAGCCGAATGGTACTTAACTCACATGGCGAGTGCTCGTGGAGGGTTTGTGCTGGTTAGGCTCCCATCTGGTTATGGAGGGTTGAGACGCATTATATGAGGGTTTACTGATTAGGTGAACATTAATCCCGCCTATCAGCCACGGGAGTTGGAATCGTGCGTCAACCTCGTGGGAGTGAAAGCGCTCGTTTGTATGAGCCAGACGAAGAACCATGACTATTATGGAAACTTGGTGAGTTTGTGCCCGGAGATGTTGCAAAGCCGCCCGGGAAAACTCAGATCCAAGGCAATGCCTACATTGGAAAACATCGTCATAGCAGGAGGCACTAATCTAAGGTAATTCCACCATGACTGGGTTGACTATCCATTGGGTCTTTGGGGAATTTAAGGGGAACTTTGAACTACCACGATGTTCTAAACATGGCTACGGAAGCCCAAGTAGACAAAGTACGAAAGTTGCAAGGTTCCATTGACCCTGACCAGCTGTGCCACCTGCAGTTTACTTCAGTAAGCAGTTTTGGGTGTTCTGAGCAAACCTCCAAGTTGAATTCCAATAGGGCACCACCGGCCAACCGAAGGCGCCAATGCAAAGCCACTTCCAGATAGTCAACAATTCGTACTGCATAGGAAAACGACACGAACTGGGGCGGAAACACCACAGCATCTGCATTATGGTGCCATTTTTCCATGGGATTGGCACTGTGATCACCATATGCAGCGCTCTTAACTATGGAAGCACCCTGGTGGTGCCTGCACCGCTGTATAATCCAGAAAAGACGCTGGATGCCATCAGGGATGAAAAGTTCGCACTTTACCATCTGGATAACATTTCTTGCAACCTCTGCTTTGTAGATGCTCGGTTATTATTGGCACGCCTACTATGTACGTGGACTTGGTCGACAGACAAAAGGCCAGGAACGAGGACATTGATCCAGAAATTGCGATCAGTGGAGGAGCCATCTGCTCTCCGCATCTCTTCAAGCAAATGAAGGACGTGCTGAAGCTGAAGAAAGTGAAGGTCTGCTGCCAATCCAATCCTCTTCAGCCCTTAATTTTAATCCAAATCAAAATTAATTCCTGGGTTTCAGTCATTTATTGTCTCTGTTTATCAATTAAAATACTGTACCGTGGATGGCCGAGTATCAAACTCTTTCTTCAGCTTCCAACTTTTATTCCACTCGGTACAACTTTAACTACGGAACAGGAACAAACTAA